AGTGTAGTTAATATATTAGTTTTCTAAGATGCCCCATTTAATGTGCTTTATTATCACAAATATAAACCATTCAATTATTTAATTGTAGTTTGAACAATAAATTAAGAGGGTGTTTGGTAGAGATTAAAATTGGATTAAAATTGAAAAACTAGCCGTTATTATTGACTTTTATTAGATGAGTAGGACTCAATAACGGCTATATTTTCAATTTTAATTGGATTTTGAGTCGTACCAAACAGGCCCTAAAAAAAAATCATTTCAGTAATGATATTCATCCCCACTGGTGTTACAAACACAGTTTAGGTGACGTTGATGTGATATTAAATGATATGTGAAATTATTTAATTTCACATTTCATTTAACTTATCATTTAGAGTCATTGTAACCCCACTCGAAATGAATAACATTACTCTTTTATCTTCCATGACATTTATTCATTTGTTTCTGTATTTGTATTAGTTACCTTGATTCTTGCCTTAAACAATAATTAGTACCAAAATTGTTAAATTACCTTGAATATTACATGCATAATTTAATTATCTATAATATTGATTACACTAATGTAGGGGTATATTAGAAAAAATGATAATAAAATTTATAATTTCAACTATAGTAACTAAAATTTCTTAATATGTGTAAAAAAAAAAAAAAAAGAAATTTGACTATTTTTATGGAACAGAGTGAATATTAAATATCACATCAAGTGAGAATTATTTTTTGGACGATTTTAATCATACTACAATTCAATTATTTCAATAATACCTTATTTTTCGTTTTTCAATATATAATAAATACTACAAAGATTTTATCATGTATGAATTCATCTTATTAATTATCAATTAATTAACATTCACATTAATCTGAACACAATGAATCTTAATCTACATGAATCTAGAATTGTTAGAAAAGAATTTATTTTTATTCATGTATCTAGAAATTATAGTGGATGTTTAAATTAATGTATTAGTAATTAGTTCTTATGTACCAAATGCAGTATAAAAATGTTGCTCATTTGTAGTATTTCATCATCACAAAAATAGAATCATAGAAGTTGAGTTTTGATAGCACAACTTTCTTCTCTTAAATTTCTGTTCTAAATTTTATTTTCTTTAGTTCGTTTGAGACTCATCAAATCCTCCCAACAAATTGGTAACAAATATTATTTTTACAATACTTATAAAGTATTTCAAAATATCGTGCAATGCACGTTCAATTCTGACTAGTAAACTAAAAAGGTCACAATAGTTGTATTTCTTTTTTACACCACACATGTTTTCAAGCTACAATTTGGTATATCAGATTAATACAATCACATCATTGCAGAATTTATAATTTTGCATGTCTTCTAAGGTACAAATGACACAATTAAGTAAGCAATTTAAATGGATTGTATAAAATCACTTATTAACTTTACCTACTTACTTAAATATCGACGATCACGTATGATTTTTAATATGAATGTCATACTGGTCACAATGAACAACACACATATATAATCTCGGATTATTAAATGATATATACCTTTTATGAATCCCAAACGACTCCCTACCGTGACATGCAAAACAGAGATGATAAAAAAATCTATTAAATCTAATACTTGATGCTCTATCTCAAACAGGATGGGGATTCCTCACCTATCGGGTAAACGAAGAGAGGGCGGGATGGGGAATCATTTCCCTCCGCTGTCGGTACTGGAAACATGATCCCCGTCCCATTACCCTCGTGTCATTTAAAGTCCATTTTCAAAATATAAGTTTTTGATTGTACAAAAAGAAGAAAATCATCATATTTTTTAAAGGAAAGATGGATTGTTCTACAAATTGGAAAAAAAAGTAATGACTTTCGCCAACTAAAGAAATTATAAAAATACTCTTTGTGGCAGAGGCATAAATGGTTGTTATGATCCCGACCCGCCTCGTTGTCATTCCTAGACCCTAAATTGCGGAATAGTGTTCTGTGACCTATTATGATATATAAAAGTGGTTGTAACTAGAAAACATGTGGAGAAAGTTATGAATTCTTAGAAACGTTAAAATGTGGGAGACAATTAGAGTGCGTTCGATTGTCGTGGAAAATATCTTCTAAAAAAGAAAATGTTTTCCTTGTTTTAAGGAAAACAAAAACATACTCCTCCCAAAGAAAATGTTTTCTTTAAAAATAAGGAAAAATAAACATATTTTCAAAAGTTGAAAAATATTTTCAATGGAAAAAAAATAGCAATCAAACAATCCAAAGTAGGAATTTGGATGGAAATTGATATTTTTCGTGGAAAATAAATACAATCAAACACACTTTTATTGTAGTCTGATTTTTTTTTTTTTTTTTGATATCCAGGTATCATAACTTGCACTAGACTATGTCCTGGACCACCCATCCCCGGCCCCTCAGTGATGGGTGGAGGATAATCGCGGGATATGCCCAAATTGATCAGGGGCTAGG